AGAAAAATGATTATGGAAGAAAAAATACCCATAAAAGAAACAATCACACTGCATTGCTGTTTTAGAGGCCTATCCCACTAGAATATGGCTATACCCCAGAAGGAAATGTGAATATACAGAACGCAGTTTTAGACATGGTCCCAAAGGGTCATAAAGCTGCAATTCCAAATATGTCTTAAATTAAATATAAATTTCCATTTTAGCAAGTATATCACTAATTTTATTTTCTAATAACTCAAATGTCTTTTCAATACTTTTTCAGTTTCATTAAAAATTTGAAATCTCATATGAACCATGAAATAGATTTAGTGTTTATCAACTATGATTTTGTCACCCTTGCACTAACAACGATAGTTTCTACTTCCATAGGATAATGAGTTCAAATAGTGAAAGAATAAGGTAAATAAAATTTGTTCCAACTTAGCTTTGAAACAGCTGGCAATCAGAGAAAATTTTCAGGGTTCTTTTATATAAACTCTTTGGCTTTTATACAGAAGTGACATACTTTAGCAAACTGGGTGATTTCTAGGATTATTGTCAGCCCAATTGACCATTTGGAGGTACCTAATTATTTCTAGAACATTAACACTGCATAGAGAGATTGAAGTAATGTGAACCTAGTAAGAGCAGTTATAAATGATGAATATCTAAAAAAACATATTACTGATTCCAAGTCCCAACAAACACATAAGATAATAATAATGTGAACTGAGGCAACACAGCGGGCCACATTCCCAGGAAAAAAAATACAGCTGATATTTAAGTTGATATTTAAAACTTTATCTTGAAAATGTCAAATGGATAGCACTACCTTCCTCTCAAGGAAATAAGATTCATCTAGATTTTGAATGATATGCTGCTGTGTTTTGTATGAGACTGTTATAATCATTGTGTTTTTCATATTGCTGTTAATTTAGAAATATGAAACAGAGCAAAGATTTCCCGGCCATTATACTGACTTTGGCTGCCTACCAGGCTTGTGACGCGAGCTAGCCTCTCACTGCACCTCAGGAGAGAAGCAGGTCAAAAGCACAGCTCAACACAGACTTGGGAGGGGCCCGGGAGGGGAGATCAGAGAACCTTGCAATTGGAAAGCTCAGTGTCCCAACGGCCTTGGTGGCACAGCTTTCAAGCTTTCCATCGAACAGGTGGTGTTTGGTTTGGTTGTTTTATTTGAATCACCATGAGATACACCGTTACAAAGTTGCTCCTTTCTGGGTTTCAGTCATACAATGTTCTAACACTGGCCCTTCACCAGTGTACATTTCCCATCACCAGTGTCCCCAGTTTCCCTCCTGTCAACAAAGCCCCTTCCCCACTCCAGCCTGTCTCTATGGCAGGTCATTTGGTCTCTCTGCCCAAATGTCTGTCTGCCCACCCTGAACCTATCCCCCGGGACCACATACCTTCCTTCTGTGCATTAAGGTTTGCCAGGCAGGCACTGAAAGGTTATCATGTATATCCCTTTACTTCCTTTCAGCACTCAGTTATTGCCCAGAGTGATCATTTTCAATTATTATTGTCATAGCAGTCCCTTGTCATAGTGAAGACTAATAAAAGTGGCCTCCCATTCATATTATTTTCAATCATGGCTACACTGGAGTATCTGAGGATCCCCTGTGGTGAGGGTGGGGCTAGGGTGCATGTGGTCCCTTCTAAAGAAACACTGATCACAAGTCTCTTTGCAGAAGAGGAGTTTCTGTGAGAGATTCTCCTTGAGCAGAATCCAAATTCCATTGTAATGCTCTTCAGAAATCATATACAGTGGTTTTCCACAGCGCTAAGAAAGAAGTACAAGGGGTATCATGGTTGATTCCCTACTCTCATCCCTAAAGCACTCATCACTTTCCACAGGTCTTTTAGTTCACAGAACCTGTGCATTTAATGTTCTCTGTGCTAAGATGTTACTCACTCCAAATTCTCATACCAAGTACCTTCTCAATACTCAGATCTCAGTCAAGTCTTACTCTTTAGAAGGGACTGCACGTTCCTTCTGAAATATGCCCACATGAAGTAGTCCATGCCCAGTTCTCATACCACAATATTACATGGCTTAGTTTCACTTTTTTCATGGCATTTAATATTATCGTTTTATCTAAAATTACCTTTCTTTTTATTTGTTTATTGCTTTCTCTTTTTTATAAGATAAAACATGGCTATCTTGCTCAGAAGTATATTCACAGTGCAGTTTTTCTCTATACAGATTTGTAAATGAACAAACCCAGCTTGACTTTCTTTATCTGAAGGACAATGTTTAAAGTTTCAGCGTGTATGTAAAACATTCTTTTCCCTTAAAAATAAATGGGGACAAATGGTCATCTCAATTCATCAATTTTGTGTGGAAGTAGCCAATCTCCAATTTATTGGTTGACCACTTTATTAACCTGAGGTAAGTTTCTTTTTTAAAATTTTATCTTCAAAGATTGGAGGTATTACGAAGGTATTACTTCAAAACAGATTATAACTGTGCATTATTTCTTGGAAAACTCATTTAAGTAATCCTTTCTCCTATTTCAACTAAAATGGAATTTCATCAGAGTCGAACCATGATGAAGTGTTCAGCACCTTTCTATTCTACAATGTTACATTTTTACTAATATTTCTCCTATATGGCATATAACTCATTTAAAATGATAATGCACGATATGTTCACTCTTCTGTGTCAGCTATCATTAATTTTCCTTATTTACAGTCAGTATATTTCTACAGGGATTAAGATACATAAGCTATGAAACATTTATACATACTTATTAGTATAGTATTGGAACCTAAAATATACAGACTGAACAACAAATAGATCATAGAATGAATGCTGGAGAAACACATAATCCAAGTAAAGCTTTTGTCCTCTTGTTTCAAGTGGAAATTTAGCATGTTAGTATGAAAATTTAGATGTAAGTGAAGTAGTAATGTACTAAACTTATAACAAAACAGATAAAGAATTGCATGGCTCACTTTAAAAGCAAACTGTGGATATGCTATAGTCATGCCTCCAGACCCCAACCAGGCTGTTTCATTCAGGGAAACCTGGAGGGCTGGAGGTGAGTGCCCTCCGCACCCTAAGGGACCCAGTCCCAGTAGCTAAAAACCTCCAGAACTCAATGGCTGCTCTCCACATGCTTGGACAAGCCTTACCCATGAGTGAATCTATTCCTGGACATCTCATACTTTACACCACCAATATACCAAGAGTAGCACACCATATTTGAGGGGGTTTAAAGTAGAAGGCAACCAATCTTAGAGAGGGAAATATATTTTTATTAATATATATATATATATCATAGCACAGCGGTAGGGCGTTTGCCTTGCATGCAGTCAACATGGCCGACCCGAGTTCGATTCCTCCGCCCCTCTCGGAGAGCCCGGCAAGCTCCCTAGAGTATCTCGCCCGCACGGCAGAGCCTGGCAAGCTCCCCGTGATGTATTCGATATGCCAAACACAGTAACAACAAAGTCTCCAATGGAGGCGTTACTGGGCCCGCTTGAGCAAATCGACGAACAACGGGAGGGCCTTTACCTTTACCTTTATATATTCAAATTCTATATGTTCGATTTTGGGGGGCAGGACCACACTTGGCGGTGCTCAGAGTTTATTCCTGGCTCTGAACTCAGGGGTCACTCCTGGTTGGTTAGGGGACCATATGGGATGCTGGGGATCGAACCAGAGTTGGCCACATGCAAGGCAAGTATCCTACCTGCTGTACTATCACTCCAGCCCCTCAATTTTTAAAACTGAATATTATAGTATCTTGACAGAAGAATTTCAGAGACAGCTTAATTATGTCTGTACCCACAATTCTCTACATATCAAGGAACCAGTTTGTTTACAAAAGAAAGACGATCTGTTTTGTTTTTAATATTGTTTTTCAGGTAAAAAAGGATTGAAAGCAGGGCAATGCTTAGAAAATGAATTTGCCCTTTAGGGTGTACAAAAGCCTACATTTTTTAGAATGTTCTAAGAAACAATAAAAGTAGTGATGAAAAACAATACTTAGGGAAAGCGGGTCAGACAATAACTGCTATCAAGAGGTAGTGACCACTGAACAAAATACAGTCAGTTCAAACCAAAATTCCAAAATAACTGTACCTATGGAAGATTTCCCATAGCTTACATAAAATAAATAACAATACATTCATCGGGCTGGAGCGATAGCACAGCGGGAGGGCGTTTGCCTTACACGCAGCCAACATGGCCGACCCGAGTTCGATTCCTCTGCCCCTCTTGGAGAGCCCGGCAAGCTCCCGAGAGTATCTCGCCCGCACGGCAGAGCCTGGCAAGCTCCCCATGATGTATTCGATATGCCAGACACAGTAACAACAAAGTTTCCAATGGAGACGTTACTGGTCCCGCTCGAGCAAATCGATGATCAACGGGAGGGCCTTTACTTTACTTTACTTTACATTCATTGAAAGATACACATTGATTTCTGTAATACTTTCTTTTTTGCTTAAAAATATTTTAAGAACTAGTCCAAAAAGAGAGAAGACTGTCAATGTATTCGTTTGGTCTGGACAGCTCATCTGATGCATGGAATATCTTTTTGCTTCTAAATAATCTCATACTTATACTCCTAACTTCCTTCCATGTTTGATGACAAATTAACTTCCATTACTTTTCAAAAAGTTGGAGACTAAGCATTAGTGTAGTTTTCTTTAGAGAAAAAAGGGTAAATCTATACTGGGGAATGTACTGCTATTTAATTTTAACATGTCACTCATAGGTAAGTTGTAAGTTAAAACATATGTCATAAATTTAGAAAAAGGACAAATTCTTCAGTGTCAGGTTAGAAATAATTGGTTTTGGAAAGTGTAAATATATTTGGAAGAAAGAATAAAAAATTAAAGCTCCTTTGATAAGTACTTAAAATAAAAACTGATGACTATTAAGCTAATAATAAAACAGAAATTGGGGGCAGGGAGAGAAAGAGTGATAATGCAACCAGCTCATTAACTTTAGGAAATGAATGTTCTTAAGTAGAGATAATTACTTCATAACTTACCTCTGAATACTTTAACTTCAATGTCTTATGCATTTCCCGAAAACGACTGTAACGCCTGAATACAGTCCATGTCTCATCTAGGACAGTAATCTATTAATATGGAAAATCAAAATAAATTAGCATCAATTAGAAAAAAGTTATTGAAATAATTTAACTGATTTTAGAAATGATTTTAAAATCAAATTGAAAAACAGTGATTAGCATGTATAAACCTCCTTAGGATTGAAAACATTCATCGAGCTGCATAAATTAAGTCCTAAACAATTGTGTCCTAGTCAAGCCTGAACCTCTGGCCCCCAAATCTAGCTAATAAGTGACAAGTGCTTATGTAGAGTATGTCTGTGATAGCCCTCTCCAGCTGGGTTCAAAACAGTAGGACAATGGTGGAGGGGAAAAAGTGCCTGCCACAAAGACAGGACGTTAGGTGGAGAAAACTGGGAGCATTGGTGGAGGGGAGTGAACACTGGTGGACAGATTGGGGTTGCAGTACTGTTTCCCTAAAATTCAGTCATGAATTTGTAGCTTTGTAATTTAAAGTAGGTCAATTAAAAAAAAAAGTATCCCCAGGTACAGGAGAGAAAAAGCGGGTACAAAAGGAAGTACACTAGTTTTGCACATGACTAACCCAGGTTTATCCCAGGTAGTCCCCTGAGTCCCACCCAGAGTGATCCCTAAGTGCAGCTGGGTATGGTCCCAAAGCATAAATACATTAACCAATAAAAAGATAATAGCATCCCTTTAACATCAACTTGAAGTACAGCAAGGAGATCCACAGAGTGACCCGTCTGTAATGGCAATGAGTAATGGAAATGAAGCAGTGAAAAATAGGGCAAGATAGAGGGAAATATGAGAAAGGAGGACCAGGAGGTGAAAGGGAGAGAAAAAAAAAAAACTCTTAGTACATTTCAAAGGGGCTGGAGCGATAGCACAGTCGGTAGGGCATTTGCCTTGCATGTGACCAACCTGGATTCCATTCCTCTGTCCCTCTCAGAGAGCCCGGAAAGTTACCGAGAGTATCCCTCCTGCATGGCAGAGCCTGACAAGCTCCCCGTGGCATATTCAATATGCCAAAAACAGTAACAAGTCTCACAATGGAGCTGTTACTGGTGCCCACTTGAGCAAATCAATGAACAACAGGAAGACAGTACTATAGTGCTACATAATTACATACTCAGTTCAGCATTTACTGGCAGATGAACTTATTTTCCTCTGACCTTGTTCACCAAGGAGGTAAAAATCATGGGCATGCTCATGAGCCCACATGCCAAATAATGAGGACAGGCTGCTAGACACAACGAATCCCAAAGTACAGGCCCACCAATTCCCAGTTCCATCTTAATTCCCACCTTTCCTCTGAGTTGAACCAACTTGGAGAGCTTCCTTTAGATAGCTCAGATCTTATAGTAAGTAAAAATTTAATTTGCCTAAAACTGAACGCAACACTCAATATGTCGAAAGCTAAACTATTCTTCTTAGTGTCTACACTAGAACTTTTTTGGACTTTTTATGCCCATGGATTTTACCACGATTCAGCTATACTTGGTGCCTCTTTCCCACTACCGTTTCTACTGTGAAATAAGCACTAAGTTCTGCTCTCCTTTAACCGGCTAAATATTGCCTAGAGCTGTCTCCTGCCGTCCTTTGCCATCAATACTATATTACCACTAGCCCAACTAATCCTTCAAGTCTCCTATGGCCTCTGCTGGGATCTCTCACAGATGTCTTTTTGGGTCACACCCGGCGATGCACAGGGGTTACTCCTGGCTCTTCACTCAGGAATTACTTCTGGCGGTGCTCGGGGGACCATATAGGATGCTGGAAATCGAATCCAGGTCGGCCGCATGCAAGGCAAATGCCCTACTTACTATACTATCGCTCCAGCATGAGAAGGAATTTAAAAAAAAAAAAACACCTAAATGTGCACACTTCACCTTTCTCCATAAAACTGCCTAGCTGCTTCACAGTGCTCATGATGAGAAAAGTCCCAGTACTATCCTTGGTACCCACCATTCGCCTCATCTCAAACTCCTCCCCTTTCACGTATCTTCTCTCATGCCTTCTCCCCTATAGGAACATTTTCCTTCCCATCTCAAGGTCTTTGAGTATCACAAGGGTGATATTCATGTATGAAAAATAGAATACTGCACATTAGAGAAATAAACTTTCCATATATAAGAGTTCGCCCAGAGTCACCAGCAAATAAACTACAGGAAATCAGTAAGAAAGCAAAAACAATATTCGGGAGAATACTGTACAGTAGCGCCAGTACAAGTGGTGTCATCAGTCTTAGCAGTTAGCTAGTTCATTTTATTTCCCAAAGTGGCAAATGTGACGATTTGGTGATACGTATCATTTAAAGAAAATTCTATCATTCTGTTTCTGTATTTGTGAGTTAAAAAAGAGTTTTTAAATTGTGACTAGTTTTTGAAGTTTCCTTTTATGACATATTTCTATTAGAAAAAGAACGGGAAGCATATTTACTGAAAGTGAAAATAGCACCAATGCTCTATAACCGTGATTTAAAAATTATAAAGCAGATCCCTCAGGGTGAGGTAGTTAAGTGGGAGCTGGGGTGGAGATGGGCATTTTCTACACTCAAACTCTTCTAAGACACTTAAGAAAAGGATCCAGGGAGACAGGAGGACAAGTTCAGCACCACCAGCAAAGGGGTGTTGGCATCCTCAGGGCAAGAACAGCCACATGCTGCCTTGTCTGGATGCCAACCAGGTGTCAAAGAGAGACTTGATGTTGCTACTCTCCAAAGAATGGTCAGAAAACTACGGAAGGAAATGCACTTGTGACTTGGGGGTAGTAAGATGCATCTGCGCATGGATGAGACCACGCTAAACTGCAACTCTTAGGTCCACATGCATTCAAGAAAGGAGCTGAGACCTCACTCATTCCTCAGACAACACTCTCTGGCTCTCCTCATAAAATCCCTCTTGCACTCATGGTCAATCATGAGTAAAATTTCCCAGATCCTTAGTCTCTTTTGTGCAAATGTGGCAACCTTCTGGAATCTGGCTCTCCACTGAGCAACCATGCTCCCCCATAACTTCGCAGGAGGGAATGTTTCATCCCTTACTCTTTATCCTACTATGAATCGAGGCTGATTTATGTTGTTTTTCTTCAAACCACTGTTTAAATCAATGTTCCTCTATTTTATTTTCAATCAAAATTCCTCCTTTGTGAGGTGAATGTTTTCAGGTCTTATAAATCCACCCCACCTTTCTTCCAGGCCACAGTCCATCTTGGGTCAATCCTCCAACTTCTTAAAGGTCTTGGGGTTTTCTCAGTTTCATCTGTTGCAATACCATGAAAAAAGTCCTTGGTAATTCCATTACCCAACACAGGACCTCTCCAGTACCTTGACCTTACATTTTTCTCATCACTTTTCTGGTACCTTCCTTCTTGAAAACTGTGAACAAATATTACTACCATTCCCTAGCATTCAACCTCAAGTCTCTTTATACCACGTTTGAAATTACATGGCTAGGCTGAACCACAATCCTAGTTAAATCGATCTACTTACTCTCAGCTTGTACTTGCCTAGCAGAATTTAGCTGAAGAGGAAGAGTAACTGTTCTCATTTCAAAGGTACATTCACCACCATGCAAGTCAGCCTTGATTCCTTCCACCTCAGTCATATCACATTTTCAAGCTCCCGTACTTTTTAATTCTCTTAAATAATAGATGCCTAAACAGCTCACCCCATGTTTCTAGACAAGCCCTTATCACCCATTGGCTTCTCACTCTTGCCTGATAATCTTAACTCTTATTTCTCACTTTCTCTCTTTCTTACACTCAGAAACAACAGAACAATACTATGTATATGTTCTCTCCACCAAGTCACCTTATAGCAGCATCTTCATTATACCCCATGTCTTCTCTAGATACTGGGCATGAAACACCAATCAGTGCTCCTACTTAAAGGCAATGCCCTTCTTATGTATTGGAGTCCATCCTTTCCATATATTGGCTAATCCAAAAATAAAAAGTTTTTCTTCGCTCTCTTGCAGCAACACAACCCCATACTATTAGATTTTTTTCTAACATCATCTAAACAAGGAACTGTTTCCCTCATTATAACTCCCATTTTGATATCCTTTTCAACTTTCACTTCCTTCTTCCTTCTGTCCTTCCCATTAAAATAAAAATCCTTGATACAACTTACTTTTCTTATCTTAACTTTTGTTTTCTCTACTCCAATCTAGGTACCATACTACTCAAATTATTCTTTCTTGGTGTGAGAATGATAGTACAGCAGGTAGGACGTTTGCCTTGCACAAAGCTGACCAGGGTTCAATCCCTGGCATCTCATATGGTCCACTGAGCACTGCCAGGAATAATTCCTGAGTGAAGAGCCAGGAGAACCTCTGAGCATTACCAGGTATGGACCAAAAATGATAACAACAAAACAACAAAACATTGCTCTTACTCTCTTAGTCAAGTCTTCGACTTCCACGTGGCTAAATTTACTGGCCGCCTCTTGGTTTTGAATTTTAAGTGATCTCTATAAATCAGGATTTGTCACTGTAAACAGCTTCTCCATGTAACAGTATTCTCATTTTGCTTCCATGCTGCTAAATTTTTTGTTTTCTTTTGGTCATTTCTCCCCCAAACTCTGATCAATTTGGTCAAACCAACAACCTGGATAGAGCCCTGGGGCTTAGTCCTTCAACATGTTTTATTTCCTACCATATTCATTCCGTGGGTGATCACATCCCATTTTAGAGCTAAATTTATATTCCTTGGATGCTTGAATCTCTTCCGCAAACCTAATTTGTATACGCTATTACTTGATACTTCTGCCTACTTAGATGTTATCCATACATCTCTAAATTTAACATGACTGAATTCACCAAAATTAATCATACCTAAACCCAGTCCACTTCCTGCTGCCCCATTTCACTAAGTGACAATGCAATGCCATTCTTGATTAATCCCCAAACCTTGGCATCTGGCTGAATTTATGACAAAAAATCTTCCCCTCATATCTCAGATCCAACTACTCAGCAAATCCTTTCTGCCAAAGTATATAAAAATGAGAACCTAACTACCTCTCACGATCTCCACTGTAACTTCTTGGT